TGTCAGTAGGAAATATCAGTTTACATTTGCAAACATTCAGTTTGCCATTAATTGTAATAATCCAGTGAGATTTTTGTTTGCACAAGGACTCTGACAACAGCCAGTGCTCCACACAGAGATCTGATCATCATCCAGTCTGTCTGGAATAACATGAAGAAACAGAACAAACTGAGACAGACTAAATCCAGAAGAACTGTGGCAACGTCTCCAAGATGCTTCAAGAAACCTACCTGCAAAGCTACCTGAAAAACTATGCTCAAGTGCACTGAGGGCAAAAGCTGCTTTAAACGCGAAGGATGTCCACACCAAATGTTTATTTAATTTAGTTAATAGAAGTTAATTGAAAAAGAAAATCTATTCATGACATTATTTTTGACAGCATCCTCATTTAACAGCATTTTTACACAAGTGCCTAAAACTTTTAACAGTACTGTAGCTTTGCAGGTAGGTTTCTTGAAGCATCTTGGAGACGTTGCCACAGTTCTTCTGGATTGAGTCTGTCTCAGTTTGTTCTGTTTCTTCATGTTATTCCAGACAGACTGGATGATGATCAGATCAGATCTCTGTGTGGAGCACTGGCTGTTGTCAGAGTCCTTGTGCAAACTAAAATCTCACTGGATTATTACAATTAATGGCTAAATGAATGTTTGCAAATGTAAACTGATATTTCCTACTGACACACTACAGAAAAACATAGAAATAACTGACATAAAACCATTTTTAGCTGCTGAAAATACTAGTGAAAATACTAGCCATCACTATATGTACGTGTATATGACAAATTTCTGTCATTACTCACTTACTCACCCATAGGTGTCCAAGCCTTGAAATTCTTTGGGGGGGTTTTCTCAGCATGGCATAAACAACTATTTTTTACTCCATGTTTCCTCAAAATTCGGAAGGAAGGAAGAATGGATGGATGGATGGATGAATGAATGAATGAATGAATGAATGAATGAATGAATGATTGAATGAATGAATCACACATCAGTGATCAAGCCCTGAACTTCATAGTAGTAAAGCAATGAGAACTTGAACAACTTTGGTCAGTTAATGAAGCGTAGTGGGAACATCTGCTGATCTCTCTCCTCTCAAACTAACAATGCACCCCCAGCAACTCCTGCAACAAGATCATGACTCCAAGGTGGACTGTGGCCCCGGGCCCCTCCAAATTACACTAGTAACACATCATTAGAATACATAGTGTTTGATTATTTGTCCATTATTCACTCTGTTGTTTAACATATAAAAAATTCCACATGGCAGATAATGTCTTAGCATGACATTGTGCTTTTTTGCATGCCAAGGCTGAGATGCTTTGCATATAAAAAAGGGAAAGCCCACCAGGGCCTTTACTTTCACTGACACAATATATCCTTTTTATATTGCCTGTAAAGTTTGCATGGCCGCTGAAGCACTTTGGCCTAAAATTCTGTTGCAGCTTTGGTTTGGACTTGCAGACTGACAAGCCTTTATGAGATAGATTCCTCTAATTGACATTAATTAATGGAGCTGACATCACCATAACCCAGGCTATGACAGACCTTTGTGGAGCAGCCAGCGCTCATAAAGTTTGAAGAGAAATAGAAGAAAGTAGGAAAAGGGATGCTCTTGATCCTCCTTGGGGGAAAAACACAGAAAACAAGACTGGGGGAAGCGTGGGACACACTATGAAACGTAACAATCTCTCTTTTCTTCATTCTCTCTCTCAGTTGTATCCTGCAGCATGACCTTGTACATATTTGTCTTTTCACAGGAAATGCTTGTTGCTCTCAAGTCACTTTGCATGTGTATCATTTTGATGAATATATGTTTTTCGTGTTGAATATTACAAACGTCCATCAACAGTGTGTGGCTTCTTGGTAACCTAACAAAATTAAAACCTTCATGCAGTACAAAGAGATTAATGCTTAATGAAAAAGAGCCTTTCTCAGATTCATAAAAACAATCTAGTCACAGTGATAATCCGCCCTGTGGGTGTGAAGATAAACATGGGACGGATTTGGGAAGTGCACAAAGGGAACAAAAGACATAAGAGCCTCTGAGATATTCAGATAATCTCTGTACTCTCACACACACTTTCACCTCAATGTAGTCAGACTCTCATACGTTAGACCTGCATTCCTTGTGGTTTTAGCAGATAGTTACTAAGAATGAAGTTGGACATTTAAGCAGAAAGTGAGAAATTCCAAATTCTGGCAGTGAGTTTCAGTCGGACTAATTCAGACGTTGGACAGTCTCAAGATGGATACTCTCAGAGTATCCATCTCCACTCCATCCCTTACTCTCTTTCTATGCTGAAGTTTCATGCCCATTCAAACTGATCCACATGCACCCTCAGATTTTGCACCAAGTGGATTTTGAATGCTACTTACTTACTTGATGTTCTTCTACCATTTTTCTTTCATTTTAACTTTAAACAACTCCGTGAACAAGCTGTTTATATAAATGCATTACTCAAATCTGAGTAATTGTCAGGAAACTGAAAGTCATCAAAATCAATCTATCTTCAT